GCTGTGGCTTTGGCAGCTGGCTCCACCCCATTCCTTAGCTTTTTAAGAGTCTAGCTTCATGGTGGAGGTACTGGTGGGAGCCATGTTTACTGCCACAACACTGGAGTTTCAAGGTTCTTGCTACCACCAAGAAGCCTGATGCCAGCTGCTTATAACCACCATTTAAGTTTTTGTTTGCAGAGCCTCTTAAAACAATTGCAAGGCTCTTGCTGCTAACGTTGAGTCAGGAAGATTCTCTTAAAGGAGCCCTGTCTCTGCTTGCCACCAGCAAACAGAGTCTACTGGAAAAAAGACAAGTTACCAAGAAGCTATGCTTGACTCTGTTCTTGTCTTTCTAGAGCGCCCCCCCCCCGCCCGCCTTTATTTTTATTTTTTAGAGCTTTCCCAGAGTTTATGTGGAAATTCTTGCCAAATGTTTGGTTGCCCACAGCCATTTAGTCCCAAAGAAATACACAGAGGTTTATGTTAATTACAAACTGTTTGGCATATTATTCAGGCTTATTACTAACTAAATCTTAGAACTTAAATCAACATTTAATTCTTCTCTTTGTTTAGCCATGTGGCTTGGTATCTTTTCTCAGTGAGGCATTCTTTGTCACTAAAACACCTGTGCTGGCTAATTTATGATAATATAATTTATAACAATAGAGGGTCAGATCTTAGAAATGAAAAATGATTTATAGGCAGCTTGGAGATTTTTTTCACCAGCATCATAATCCTTAAAACTGATCTCATTTCAAATAAAAAACAACACCACATTGTTTACAATCTTTATTTAAGTTACTTTAAGTTGTATTTTTGTTGTTTTGTTTTGCTTTTTGTTTTGTTTTTTCAAGACAGGGTTTCTCTGTATAACAGCTCTGGCTGTCCTGTACCTCACTCTGTAGACCAGGGTGGCCTCGAACTCACAGAGCTTCGCCTGCCTCTGCCTCCTGAGTGCTGGGATTAAAGGCATGCATTATCACTACCTTGCATTTTTTTTTTAAGATGGATTTTATTTGTATGCATGTTTGCCATGTGAGGGCAGGTGCCCAGGGAGACCAGAAGAGAGCATCAGATCCCCTGGAGCTGGACTCACACAGCTCTCAGCTGCCCAACATGAACGCTGGGAAATAAATTCGGGTCCTGTGGAAGAGCTGTAAGCACTCTTAACTGCTGAATCATCTCTGCAGCCCCTTATTTATTTGTTTGTTTGTTTGTTCATTTATTATGTGGGTTTGTGTGTGCAAATGCACACGTGTAGAGTTCTAAGGACACCATATGGATCCCAAGGAATGAACTCAAGCTGTTAGACTTCCAGTAAGTACTGTTACCCACTGAGGTTTTTAAAACCATCCCCTTTATTATTGACCATTGATCATTGCCATATTTGCCTCAAATGAAGCTGGATATGGTACCTAGGAAGGAGATGGTTGCAGAAAGACTTTTCGTTCCCTTTTTTCTATTTAGTAATCCATGTTACAGTTATCTCACTGACTGATGGATTAGGTTTATTTTGTGATGCCAGGGATTGAACACATAGCTTTGCATATGCTAGGGATGTCCTTTGCTACTGCCCTCTTAATTGCTAAGCGCTCTCCTTTCATTCCCTATTTTCATTATATTATGCATATGTGTTTGAGTGTGTACTCTGTGTGTATGTGCCTGTGCCTGTGGCCACAGAGGCCAGGGGAGGGTGTTAGGTCTCCTTGGAGCTTTAGTTACAGGCAGTTATGAGCTGCCCAACATGGTTTCTGGGAGCTGCATTTGGGTCCCCTACATAAGAACAGTCAGTGCTCTTAATTGCTAAGCTATTTCTCCAGTCTTTAGGCATGATTTCTTTAATTTTGTGCTGTGTGTTTTTGTATGTCTGTATGTGTAGATCATAGGTCATCCTTGAATGTCATTCCTCAGGTACTAATCATCTTGTTATTTGAGATAGGCTCTCTCGCCTGGTCTAGAATTTACCAATTAGACTAGGATAGCCAGCCAGTAAACCCTAGAGACTTGCTTGTCTTCTTCTCCCTGGTGCTTAGATTGCAGGCATATGCCAGAGTGCCTAGTTTTTTTGTTTGTCTGTTTTTTGTTTGTTTTTAATAAGAATTGTGAGGTTCAAATTTAGGTCTTCATGCTTGCATGGCTAGTATTTATTTTACCCACTCAGCTATCTCCAACAGACCAAGTTTGTGTTTTTATTTTGAGTAATTTGAAGTGTTTGATAAGTCCACCTCCTTCAGGAATAGTTGTTTTCTGCTTTCCCCCATATAGGACTATCTATACTTAATTTGTATGTCTTACTTTTTGTTGAGAAGTAGACAGTTAAAACTTTTGGCAATTATGGAAGTGGACCACACAACATACCATACCGTATACATAGAGCACCACAAACAAGGTTTATCATTGCTGTTACTATTTGTTTACTAATGTTATTATAACAGAAATCAAAGGCTGGCAGATTAAACCACAGAAATTTAGTTGCCTTAGTTCTGTAGATCATAAGTCCAAAATAGTGTCAAGCCTGTTAGTTTCTTATAGACACTGAGCAGAGGCCTTCTGGGTTCTGGAATGGCTATCTTCATGTTTATGTTTTTCCTTGAAAGTATGTTTCTCTCTGAAATTCTTCTGTTTATAAGGAATTAGTCCTGGGGATAGTACTGTGTCCTAATGTAGGGCCCCTTTTACCCATGTAGTTACGTTCTGAGGTAATAAGGGTTAGGACTTCAACTTGTAAATTTTGGAGCAGAAGACACAGTTTATAGTTTAACTTATAGTAATATCTTTCCCAGATAGTAATTGTAAAGAATTATCTGTATTCTTGAGTATTATCTGTCTCTATTTTTTGTGTCTACTAAGTTCATTTAGATTAGCCGATCACTGAACAGAGATTTTTCTTTACTAGTAGTACCTCTCTTAGCCTTTGCCTTTGTTAGTAATTGCAAGTTTTTATCATACTGATTCTGCTCACATTTTATGATTCTTAGATTGTCCTACGTAGTGGGTAAACGTTTAGTTTTAGATCATTGCTGGCATGTAAATACAACTTACTGTTTGTGTATTGACTATATCTTGCCACTTTGGTACATAGCCCAGTCTGGCAAGGAACTAAGGATTCTCCTGCCTTATCTTAATAAGTGTTGGGCATATAGACATACACCACCATGAATACTAGCGGATATTCTCCGAATTTTCCATCTGTGTTTTTGACAGTTGCTATTGTGTAGGCTTCATCTCATTTGGTTTCTTACTTTCTTCTGATGTTTTAATATTGGTACTGGTAGCATCATAAACTAAGCTGTGAAGTATCATCCTTGAGTTTGTGTAGATACAGCTGGTATTAATTACTTCTTCCTTAAATGTGGAGTGGTCATCATTGCCAGTGAGGTCATTTAGACCTGAAGTTTTCTAAGTGGAATGGTTTATAATCACACATTTGGTTGTCTTGAGTGGATGTTGCTGAAGGCTGTTGTGTAAGTCTGATTATCAAGATGCTGTTCCTCAGTATCTAGAGTGTAGATTTTCATGGGCTAGAGTAGCTTGTGCTTCTTTGTCATCTATGGGCACTGAGCAGTTGAGTCTCCCAGAAATAGCAGTGTTTATCTGTAGGTAACTTTGCCATTTCATTACACTGAAGAAACACTCCACAGAGATGTTTGCTGTGGGCTTTATGTTCAGAGTCTTGCACCAAACACAGACATCTTTGTGTTTCTGAGTATGCTAGTCAGGGTTTTTCAGGGAAGAGATTGGGGTTGGAGATAATTCGCTGTCTCCCTGTTGAGCCCTGATGTCCAGGTGTCAACTGCTGGTAAGAGCAAGCTCAGATAGGCTGATGTTGGTAATCAGGTCCTTGTGGTTAGTTCCAGGACCTAACTCCTGGTAAGGGTGAATGTTATATATGTTTGAAGGAAGAGACATCTTATGATGCCTGTTTGAAGACAATAACCAAGCCACGACAGTTGGAATCCATGCTTACCAGTCTTGGCTGGGCTCTTCATCTACTAATTTCCTCCACACTGTTGTTACCTGAGCAGTGCAGACACAGGAGAGCCGTTCAAGTGTCATTCTAGAGAGGACTTGATGTAGCTTTTTCATGTCATCCAAGGTCTGGGCTCTGGGGCTACCTAGCAGGCTAGTGAGAGACCTTCGACTCCCAGCAGAGATCCTCTGGCTGGTGGAGTCTATTGTTTAATGTTTGTTTTAAGCTCTTTGTTCCTATTTGCTTGTCAACTGGAAAGTTAAGCTTTGTTCTAAGTCTGGGTTATATTATATGTTTCTGAAAAGGAAGGGCTAATCTCTGGTACCTAAGAATGTGGCCTTACTTTGGAGACTACGATGCTACAAGTATAATTTAGTTGATTTGTGGTTGAAAAATTGTGACTGGTTTTCCAGAGGTGAGAAAAAAAGAGACCTAGTAAAGATTGTCTTGGCGCTGCCATAAACCATAGGACCTGAAAAGGATTTTCCCATGTAGTCTCTGCAGAGGGAGTACAGCTTTGCTGGTTACCCTGAATTTTACTTCTCACCTTTAGAATTGTGAGAGAACCCACTATTATTGCTTAAAGTCACCCAGTTTGCGGTACAGATATGTGTTACTTATGTAAACTCTATAAAGGGTCCCTATATGAACTAGGGTGACTCTAATGTTGCTAGGTAATAAAATCCTATAGGACTACTCTTGTGTATATGATTCATCATCAGCAGGTAGATTTATCCTTGCATAACTGTATTCTGTTTCTGCCGTCTGTCCCAGAGATGTACAGTGATGGTCTGTGCTATGGAGTGAGCTGAGCTATCTGGCATCTCCTGTTCACTGAGTATAGGGTCAGTCTGAGATCAAGTTAGGGGAGGTTCTGTTAGCTACTAATTTCTGAGCCTCTATCCTTTGTCCCATGCATTTTATAGCTGCTTCTCCCACCCCTAGCCTACCTGAGTCTTGCTGTGCAAAATTTCTCTCCTCGTGTGTTTTAGTTACTTTTCTATTACTCTGACAAAACGCTATGACCGAGGCAACTTATAGAAGGGTTTATTGGGGTTTACAGTTTCAGAGGGTTTGTTTATGACCATCTTGGTGAGAGGCATGGTGGCTAGCAGGCATGCAGGCATAGTGCTCAAGCAGTAGTTGAGAGCTCACATCTCATCCACGAGGAGGCGGGATTGGGTGGTAAATCTAACTAGGAATGGTATGGGCTTTTGAAACCTTAAAGCCCACCCATAGTGACACACCTTGTCCTAATCTCTCCCAAACAGTTCTACCAACTAAAAGGGATATCAGGTATGGCATGATCTAGTGAGGTGACAGGATGTTCTGCACGTGAGGGAAGCACACAGTGTGGCACGACTCTTCAGAAGTCTGGGCTTGCTCGGGATTCACAAGCATATGCTTTTGTTTTAGTATTTTAACCACATCAGTATTGAGGATTCACGAGTCTACGAACTGACCAGCAAGGCCGGGCTGTTGTCTCCGTATCAGATCCTCCATGAGTGCCTTAAAAGGTAGGGTAGACAGCAGCTTCCTCAAAATCAAGTCATGACAGCCCCTCTGGGCATCTCAAATTTTTACTTGGATTTTGTCCCCAAGGCATTGTCTGTTTGCCTGGATAGACAGGAGCCCCTTGGCTCTGACTGATAGGCCAGTCCTGGGTAACTGAAATGCGTGTGGGGAATCTTCCTTAGTCATCTAGAGTCCTAGGAGTTCGGTTTTCTCTGAATTTCGTCATTTGGTAGCCCTCCTCAGAAGTCACCATGTCCAAGTACCATCCACTGATGTTTCCTTGTCATCTTTGTTTTCTCCTGAAAGAAACCATGGAATGGGTGACACATCCATCAAGTTTGAAGTGGTTCCTGGGAAAAACCAGAAGAGCGAATATGTCATGGCATGCGGCAAACACACAGTGCGCGGGTGGTGTAAGGACCTGTCTCCTCCCCTGCTTCCCTCATAGCCTGGCATGTTTTCAGAGGACTGCTGGGGTATGGCCAGCAGTTTCTGACATGAGGGGGTGTGGCCTTCCTAATCTACTACTGCTTTGGCAGTCATCCCAAGTAAGCCCCAACTTTGTGTGGGCCACCTTCATCTGAAGCTAGAGTTGTGGTGACCCTGCCTGCATTCTTCCTTCTGTTCCACTGTTGCTTCTCTTACCTCTAACCAGCCAGTCTCTGGTAGGATGAGGGATTGGCTTTCTGAGGAGCAGGCTGAGGTGCCTTCTGATGGCTATCTATCCATCTGTATGCCTGTATTCTGGTTTCTAGGCACCACCTTACTCTGCTTTCACATCAACATAGGTACTTAGTAAAGGCCAACATAAAGCCAGTAGTTCGAGCTTAGGAGGAGGCTGGGCAGGAGAATCAATCATGCGGATATGAGTTCAGAATTAGCTTGAACAATATAGTAAGACCTTGTTCTTTGAAAAAAAAAAAAAAAAGCCAGGCATGGTGGCACATGCCTTTATTCCTAGCACTCAAGAGGCAGAAGCAGGCAGATCTTATTGAGTTCAAGGCCAGCCTGGTCTACAAAGCAAGTTCCAGGACCGGCCAGAGCTGTTACACAGAGAAGCCCTATCTTGAACCCCCCCCCCCCCAAAAAAAAGGTATGTTTACCATAAAGTAAAACACTAAGTAATCACTATAAGGAAAACTTAGTTTTATATATATATTAGGGGATGATCCTTAAAGGACCCTGGGAAATTACAGACCCACATCTAGACCTGGATGTTCCCAGTTACCTATGCTGCACATTACAAACTCTAGTCCCCACAGGGGTAGGCTGCTGAGGACGTTGAGAGAGTGAGCAGTCCAATGATCTTTCAGCCTGAAGAGCTCTCCTGGCTCAGGGCATCCTTCATATGGAGGCTCCACCAAGGCACCTACCCTCAGGAGCCATAGACATTATAGGAATCCTTGCTGCTGCTTGTCTGTGTGTTGCAGGAAAGTGGGGTGGAGTGGGACACTGGAGAGAAGGAACCTTCATTGTTTTGGCTAATAGCTTTTCCACTTGTCCTCGTCTGGATATCCTGAAAGCTGCTCGGCAGAGTGGTACCTGGGTCCAGGTCTCAGGACTGTGAGTCATGGTGTCTAGCACAGTGGGAAAGCACTGTCTACCCTCCTGTGGAATTCCCTGCATGGCTCCCTAGATACCAAGGAAAGGTTCTTCTGTTTGGATATTTGTGACTCCTCTCCACCTTTGCTTTTTTCCTCTCACAGGTAAGAATAAACGAGTTGGGAAACAATTAGCCTCTCAGAAAATCCTTCAGCTGCTGCACCCACATGTCAAGAATTGGGGGTCCTTACTGCGCATGTATGGCCGTGAGAGCAGCAAAATGGTGAAGCAGGTAACCAGACTGTCAGGACATCGGCAGCTGCTCTGCTTCCCTGTTTCTTGCTTTGGAGCTCATTTCTAAGTTTGCTATCAAGGTCAAGCCTAGCACTGCTTTTATCTCTCCTTTGTTGTGCCAGTGATTGTACAGGCTGAGGGTAGGGACACCCAAGATACATCTTACTCTTGAACCTGCCAAGCATTTAAGTACAAGCCATGCCTAGAGCACCAGGCCTGCGACATACCATTAGTAGGTGCAGGCAATGAACACTAACTGGTGCTGAGTTGTATGAAGGCTTGGGAGCTGTCCTTTAGCAGTTTCCACACAGTATATCCTTGTTTAGTTGAAAATCTCAGGGGCTTACAGAATATAAATACTGCCTATTTTGTTTCTGTAGCTTTTATCTAGTTCTCAGAATTTAAACCAGTCTTGAAACCTAATGGGTTCAGGGAAGTACTGGGAAGTGGGTGTTGGCAATTTCTTTTTTTGGGTGGTTTTTTTGTTGTAGTTTTTGGTTTTGTTGGTTTTTTTTGTCTCCCAAGTGCTGGAATTAAAGGTGTGCACCACTACCATGCAGCTGGCTATTTCCTTTTTGGGGTGCTAGGGATGGAACCCAGAGCCTTGTACAAGTTAAACAAATGCTCCAGTACTGACCTAGATCACTAGCATTTTGTAACATTTTCCCTTAATATATGTAGAAACTACCTAGATCATCAGGATCCCATCATTTAGATGAGTATAGGTGGTGACCCTGAAGACTGTGCTGTGAACCCTTGAGCCAGTTGTCTGGAGCTGTGCGGCATCCCTCAGGTTCTCTAAAACTGAGGCCTGCTCCTGTCCTTGTTCTAGACTGGCAAGGCAGGGATCCAGGAGCCACATGGAGAATATAAACAATATAAGGCTCCTTCTCTTTTTACTGATTCCTTTCCCTCCCTGCTGTTGGCTCATACTGGGGCTTTGTGTAAGCTAAGTGAGGACTGCTTTCACTGAGCTGCATCCCTAGCCTGAATAGAAGTATTTCCTATGAGTTGAAATGTAGGTGCAGTGTTTGCCGTACGTACATAGTCCTGGGCTGAAACAGATAGAGAACATTACTGCAACCATAGGTAGGGGCTTTCTTCACCTGGAGGGTGAATGGCCCCTGTCTGGCACAGGACCTCTGGCATGCCAAGACACTGAGCATCCTTGGCTATGGATTCTAAGGCAAGAAGGGACCAGAGAGAATGGCTGAGCAGGTGTTTGGCTGTGTTATGTCTCAGTTGGCTTCAGCCACTCTCTGAGGGTTTCTAGCATAGTGAGTGCCTGACTTTCATACTCAGCCAGTAAACAGAGGTGTGATCATGGAAAAAGGGACAGAGTTTCTGGGAGAGACCTGGGAGCTCAGGGCTGTGCTTATAGCTTGTATCTGTCAGCAGCCAAGGCCTCATCACAGGTGGGCCAATGGTGTGCACTTCCCCACCAGGCCCTTACGCTCCTGTTTTGGGTGGTCATGAGCACACTGCTACTTGGGAGTTCTGAGAGCAAGCTTTGGGTCCCTAGGAGACCTCTGACAAGAGTGTGATAGAGCTACAGCAGTATGCCAAGAAGAACAGGCCCAACCTTCACATCCTGAGCAAGCTGCAAGAGGAAATGAAGAGGCTGGCTGCAGAGCGGGTGATTATCTCCTTTTCTCTCCTCTCCCCCAGGTCATCTACCCCCACAGTCCCCTGTACTGTTTCTGCCCATACCATAGTTTGCTGAGTCAGCTCCTTCCTTGTACCTAGATCTTAGGAGCCCATTTCTGATCAGATTCTGGATATGCTTACTACTTGTCCTTCCAGATAAGGTTGATCTTTAAGTTCTAGCATGCATGGATGGTGCTTTCCTTAAAAACATCAAGTTGGAGAGTATACAGTCCAGTCTTTTAGTGCCTAAGGGTCCAATTGGAGTCAGGTATTTGAGGGCAAGAATTGTGCACTGGCCTTGTACTTGATAACTCAAAGATCATAGAACAGTTAAGCCTAGGTAGGACCTGGTGGTCTTGGTAAAGCTTCCTAAAACTGCCATAGGTGTTCTGTCCCAAGTGGGCTTTCTTACTGATTGTTTCCTGGCCTTGGAAAGTATTTTATAGTTACTCACACCCCTAGGCCTTCTGAGTTAAGAGCCATTCTAGCTCAGGTGACATTGACCCAGGTATGAACACAAACTCTTAGTACCCAGTGTCTATTGCCAGTTGCCTTTCTACTGCTCTCGGGTAGAGGTAGGCCTTGTCTGCTAGAGTAAGCAGTACTTCTAGCTTGACTCTTTTGGGGAGATTAGTTGTGGGGATCAAGACAACAGGCTAAAGACACACAGTCCATATTTGTAGGGAAAATTGACTGGGCTTCCAGGCAAGCAAGGCTAGGATGACACTCATCTTGGAGGGGTGGATCCCAGCTTGTTGCAAATTCTTCCATTCAGGGTGTCTCTAGATTGCCAGGGAAACTGCAGCACATGGGAGTCAACCCTGGCATTCTGAGGAGACCCTCCTGGCCTGGTCCAACCCAGCCCGCTCCCTGTACCTTCCCTCCTAGCCAGGTATCACAAGCATTTGTGCTCTCGGAATTCAGGGGCTTCCACCCTTTCACTCTTGTGAATCTCTTTGCTGGGTGTGCCTCTAGTATCACTGACCTCTATTCTTCCAGGAGGAGACTCGGAAGAAGCCCAAGATGTCAATTGTAGCATCTGCCCAGCCTGGTGGTGAGCCCTTGTGCACAGTGGATGTATGAGGTAGGAGGCATGGGCCAACAGTGCTTCCCAGGATACCATCAGCAACACATCACTGCAGCACCAGGCCTCCAACCTAAGTTCCCTTCCTGTGGCATTGTCTGGGCTTTGCTCTGACATGCAGGGACAGCTGTGACCCTACAGCACACGTTCAAAGAAGCAGTTCTTCTGGAAGCTGCTCTCAATGTGACTTGATATATTTAAGGATCAGCTATAAGTAACTGCACAAGTGGAAGCTGATAGCCAGCTGTAGATCCTGCTTGTACGTGTCTGCTGCAGACTGTTTTTATGAAGGTTTCCATGAATTTTAGTACACTATATGCACTGACAAGAACTGATACTTGGTTGATAGATGAGGTGACCAGGTTTTATAGCTTTGGCTGGTCTATGATGCCAGGTAGTCCTTCTGCTCATAGTTCCTTCTGATGGAGCCACTGAGACCTGGTCAGAAGGTACAGGTATCCTGTACTGTAGTATTAACTGCTTTGTGTGTTTCCCATTTTCCTCTGAAAAAGTTATAACAGAAAGGGTGATTTCAGGCTATTTTGGCTTAAAATAAAACAAAATTTTAGCACCAGAACATAGAGATTGCACAGTGAAGATACTGAACTGTCAAGAATCTGAGTGTTAATCTGGTTGGCTCTTGGGTTGCAGTCTACTTTTTCTGATGATGTCTTCTAGATACCCAAGCTCTCCCACCTTCGATAAACTCTAGCAAGTTTTTTACATAGATTTTTGCACAATCAAGTCCATCTGTTGATCAATTTTTTTTAAAGCCTTTGTTTGAGAATTTGGAAAGAAACTTTTACAGTGAGAGTAGAAGACTGGTTTAGAGTCGTGCGTTTCAACAGATGGACTTGTGTAAAGGAAACAGGGCTGTCAGTGTAGCCCATCACTGACCAAGAGCTGGCACTGCACATAAGTAGTTTTGACTTCTCTGTATTTAGGAATGACTGCTTTGTGCAGCCAGGCCTGATGTCAGTTTTAGTTTTTGTCTACCCATGCTCTCTGTCTAGTCATGGAGATGGGTATTGAGTAGAGGTATATTGAGAGCCCTGTACCTGAAGATATATGGATGGTGTATGTTGTCACAAAGATGGGATAACAGCTATCCCAATACTATATTTCTCCCCCCATTACCTGTGTGCAACAGTTAACTTCTGTGTTAATCTAAGCAAAAAGAATCCTCCAAATCAAGTTGCTAGAGTTGAACACCTGATTTCTTCTTTCTTGCCTCTCATTCATAGTTGTAATCAGCCTTTGACTGACCATCACCCTTAAAACAGATTTGCTATCGAGAAAGCCTTGAGCACATGGGCATGGTGATCTCTCTATAGTCCCATTTGCCCAGGCAATGTCAACAACAGATGCTCCAGTGCCCTCCCTGTCTCTTACAGGCAGGTGAATTTTTAAGGTATAGCAGCCATGCTACAATGCTGGGAGCCTGTGCAGATGCTGGCCATGGCTGTAGGGTATACCCCGATGGTCTGAACACATAAAACTGTCCGCACAGGAATGGCTGGTTTCTTTTTTCTGATGAGAGTATTGGATGATTGTGGATCTTCAACCGGCCAGGAAGTGCCATGGCGTACACAAGTTAACCTCATGTAAACTCTGCATAGAGGGGTGTACAGCAGTCACTACCTGCAGGGGCCATTCTCAGTGCTTACTCATCTGGAATATTTGGTGTTTGGCCCTAAAACCTGCTGTCAGTGACTAAATTGAAGAGAGCCCTGGCATTCCTTTAAGCACAGTGAAGCTTGTGGCAAGTAGGAATGAGTCAAGGCTCTGGCTCTCACAAAACCATCAGCAAATCAGCAGTATTTATTCTAGATTCTGGCTGCCCCATTACAGGATACAGTGTTCATAATAACAGCTAGGTAGGCCTCATGCCTCTGCTTAGTAGGGAGCCATAAGGAGTTCCCAGCTTTTGTCTACTTCTGTAGTTCCCAGAACCTAGGATGAGAGGGAAGTCTCCATTTCCTGTGAGGTGGTATCAGGAGTATTTCTTGGGGTTTCAGAGTCTTGATGCCCCAAGGCTCCTGTGCTATTAGGGTATTGGTCCATCCTCTCAAACAGTATAAGCATCTCACAGTGTGGAGTTTGTGGGAACAGGTCCACGGCCACAGCCTTGACTGGGTGGAATGGAATGCCTTTTACTCGGTTAGATGGGGCCCTGCAGAGGCTGTGGTGGGAAGGTACCAATATTAGCCCCAGAGGTTTCTGTAGGTGGCAGATAGGTGTGTCCTCGTCCCCCACCCCCATAAACACTTACTCCACAAAGTTGCCCATGGCTGCCCGGGGATTGCAGGAAACATACAGGAGTCGCTTGATATTCTCAGCTCTACGAATGGCCAGAATCACCTTGGAATCTAACAAAACATAAGGGGCTAGTGTCTCCTAATGGTGGACTACCCAACATAGCTTTTTTTTTTCTTCTCCGCAATTGGAAGCCACTCACGTAGTCCAGCCCGTGGTGGGTCTAGGACAGCTACAAGTCGCTGGGAAGACAGTCTGCTCACCAAGCCTGGCACAAGATCTTCAGCCCTGCCGCAGTGGAACTCAACGTTGCTCAACTCTAGGGATAGTGTCATAGTTGTCAATGATCTCTGGACCTAACAGGCTTGGAAAGCATACAGTTCCCCCTTCCCCCAAAGATTTTCTGTCTCCAACCAGAAGTCTACAGATCCCTCAGTGCCCCACTTTGTAGAAGGCCCCCAAAACCCTAATCAGATTGTAGATCCAATTGAAATGTCCAGCAGAAAGTTTTGCTGTGGCAGACTATCCTGCTTGCTATTTGATACAAAAGTTCTCACCATTGGTGAGAGCATTCACACGGGCATCCTCCACAGCCTCCTGGCACAGCTCAATCCCGATGACTCTCTTTACCTTCTGGAATAAAGAGATAGAAAGGAAGAGACAGCACAGCTGGGCTACCTCTGGGGTTTGATAGTAGCCTTCACACTCAAGATCAACAGTAGGGAGATGTTCTAGGGCTAGAAGACTTACCGGGGCCAGAGCCAGGCCTATGGTGCCAGTGCCACAGCACACATCCAGCACGGTACTGCCCACGTCCAGCTGAGCCCATTCCTGGATGACTGTGTAGAGCACTTCAGCTGCAGGTGTGTTTACCTGGAGGTTAGTTAGCCATAGTGTACTCCAGTGTAGGCTAGCACCCCACACTACTTGGGTCACATCAGTGATCTCATACACTCTCCAGGCTTTAAAAAAACTAAATCCTTAAAACAGACATCCCCATTAATGGGGAGCTTTTTTCCTGACTCTCCCCCAGATCAACTGAGAATGACTGCATATATTACGCTAGAAACTTTGGAAACACCCCCCTCTCCACACACACATCTCCATAGTAGGGTTTTCCATAACAGTGAGAGTGGCTTTGCAGCTAAGGAGATTGCTGCCATGGTATTCTGTTCTGGGTTTGGCAGGAAATAAGGCCACATGCATCACTGGGTCAACCACAAAGAAATCAAGTGACAGAATATCCCTTTCTTATCTTAGAGTCCCCATTACATGGATGTTCTTTAGAAATCTCTTTTCCATCTTCCCCTTCATACCACACCTGCTACCACAGCCAGCTTCCCTGTATCTTTGTGGTCATAAAGGAGATGCTACCTGGAAGAACGCTTGAGGGGAAATGCGGAAGGTCAGCCCCAGCAGGTCTTCCTGGATGCACTGGTCACCAGCCATATGCTCCAGGGGCAGGCCTTCCTGGCTGGGAGTCTTCCTACATGAGAAGCAGGAGATCTGTCAGTGTTACTGGATATCTGGATACCCTTCCTGTCCCAACCTGGGCTTCTCACCTCTGTCCTTCCTCCACAAAGTAGAGGCAGGTCACCCCACTGGCCTTGCCTGGCCCTTCCATGAAGTAGTACACAAGTGAGGCCTTCAGCCCTGCCATTTCCTCCGAGCTCAGTTTCTGCAGTGGAGGATACAAAAAGCCCATCAGACTAAGAAAAACCCAACAAGACCTCCCCCAACAAGACCTCTGCCTGAGACCTGGGGGTGGAAGTAGGCAATGGCCATGGCCTGGCCTCTGCGGCTGGTACGAACAGTCAGCTGCTTCCAGTGGCCTGCATATGTCTCAGGGTCGTATGCCGAGTATGGGGTAGACCTGAGGAAGCCACAAGTGTCCCTGAGTACCTGGTGTGTGCCTGTCCCAGCACCCTACCCCTACAACTGCCAGGGCAAGGACCACACCATCTGCTCCCTGGATTGGGGACTTCTCAGGAGCCCAACCCCAGGCCAGGTCCCCACCGAATGAATTCCTGGAAGGCCTTCACCACCTGCTTGGTGGCCTCTGGAATGTGCACGGTGTCCAAGGGGGCTGCCACGGCACACGTTCCGCCCTTGTACTTGCCAAGCCGGCAGCCAACCGTGTTGTCTTCGCCGTCTACCCCAACTCCGATCAGGAACTCACACTTATTACGATATTCAGTCTGCAGGAGAGAAGGTGGCAAAAGCAGCCATATCTCAACCTTGCTTGCTCAGCACTGGAAGAAACACCACAGTGAACAAAACACCCTGATGGGGCGGGCAGGCAAAACAAGGTTTTACTTTACTGCTGGCTTATTGAACTCCAGGAAAAAAATGAAAAGTGGCAAAGAGGATAAGGAAAGTTCTTAGAGAACAGGATGATGGGCTGGCCTAGCCTTAAAGTATATGTGTAATGTGTGAAGCCCTGGGTTTTACCCCAGCACTGCATGACAAAAACCAGGAGAGGCCAACCTCCCCCCTCCCCACACAGAATGGGACTTCATAGTCAGCCTGACCTGCTGGGGTGATGGCTTGACTCCCTCCAATGGGCAACAAGCCTTATTGTGCTGTTGTCTCTGTGTGAGCAGCCAGGGTAGCAGGGCGCGGTTAGTACTCCCAATTTCCCTGTAGGATAAAGTATATCATGGTTGGACTTAAGAGTGTTCCCCATCTACACTGGGACCTCACTATTGCATTGGTACCATAGGGGCATTACTAACCAGCTCCCTCACCACTTAGACCAGAGGTTCTCAACCTTCCTAATGCAGCGACCCTTTAATACAGTTTCTCATGTGGTGACCCCTAGCCATAAATTTATTTTGGTGCTACTTCATAACTAAGTTTGCTGTTATGAATTATAAATATGTTTTCCAATGGTCTTAGACAACCGACTCCCCCCCCAACCCCCAGTTAAGAACCACTAACTTATATGCCCTGTATGTGTTCTGAATAGAGTACAGGGCTGATGGAGCAGGTCAAGAGCAAAAGCTCACTCTGGTTAGGATGTCAGTGCCACACTCACTTGGCCAGTTTCTGTAGCACCCGTTCACATTCCAGCCGCTTCTGCTCCAACTGCTCAGAGTAGGGCACTCTCCAAAGAGGGGTCACCACATCGGCAATCTGCGTTGCTGAAGGCTCACTATCACCTTCCTGCCGCCTCTTCCTAGCCATGGGGTCAGCCTTGGGTCGAGCCATGCGCACGCTGAGTGGGCGTCCTTTCCAGAGAGCACCGTGCAGCACTCGTAAGGCCTTGTCTCGTTCAGCAGCGCTGCGAAATGTTACAAAGGCACATGGTGGTTGTCCGAAGAGTTTGATTTTGTGGGACTGTAGGCCAAAACGGCCCAAAAAGCGCCGGACGTCGCTAAAGCTGGCATGGCGAGGCACATTTTGCAGCTCCAATTTAAAGATCTCTGAGGTGAACAGGTCATCCCTTATGTAGCTGTAGAGCCCAGGCTGAGTTCCAGACTCTGCAGCTGGTGCAGGCCCCTCTTTCTCTTCTTTACTTTCTGGGACTCCAGGGCTGTGTTCTGCACTGGCCTCTGGGCCGCAGTCCTCCATGTGCTCTTGAACCTGTGTGGGGACAGACGGGCCAGGCTAAAGCTGTACCTACGATGACTACGGCCTCGGGCTAACTCCCTAAACCACCCAGATCTCGATAAGCTCACACTACACCCAGCTCTGCCCAGACCCGCTCCTCTCTACTCTTGAGACTCAGTTCTCCCCCATCCTATCTCTGATCCAACAGTAATGACTGCTACCCAATCCCACCCATCCACATCAGCTGCACGTCACCCCCTTCGCTTTACTTCCGTGTCCAGCTTCTCACTCATCGCCCTGCTCGTCTGTCGCCCGGACCAGGGTGCTCACGAGGGTCACCACCTTGGTCTCTTACACACGAAGTGCTCAGAAATTAGGTGCGATGCCGTGAGGAAATGCTGCGGCTTCGCCTTACGCAGTAGAGGGACTCTAAACTCGGGTGCTCAGAGCCGGCACTGAGGACTGGGGATGCACCACTCGCTCCCCAGTAGGCAGCGAGAGCCACACTGCCTCGCCTGCCTCTCCCGTCGGCCAGCGCACACTAAGCGAGCCTGGTTTCTCTAAGGGCTCAGCTTCCGATGACGTCACCGCCACGCGCCGAGTCCTGACTGATCCTTCCAACAGCCGCTCACACTGACGTCAGGGGCACTCTGGGTTTGCAGACGGAAGTGCGCGCGTGGGTCGCCGGGATAGCGCGCTCCCTAGGCTAAGGCGAGGCCGGGCATGCGCCGCGAGCGTTTTGGCGGGAAGCGCGGGGCGGGCCGGACAATGAATGTCCGCCGTCAGAGCCAATAAAGCTGCAGTGGTTTTGAATCACGGCGCGTTTCCCGCCGCTGGGGTCAGGGGTCAGGGTTCGGGTCGGGGGGCGGAGGGAAGAGCGGACGGGCGGGAGACGCCGGCGCCAGACGCGGAGGAAAAGAAGCTGCGACCAGCCGCCCGGAGGCCGCCGAGCCAGCGACGCCTGAGCCAGTCGAGCCGCCGTCGCCGCGCCCCCATGGCGGCCACCAAGGTACGGCGAGGCCCGGGTGGGGCCGGGCAGGCCGGGAGGCAAGGGCCGCTATGGACGGCCACGTGGGCGGCCCGCGCCTCTGCCGCCAACCCTCGCTGGCCTGCGGGTTCGGGGCCTGTCGAGGCGCCCGGGTCTGGGGGGCTCGAGGACTTTGGGTCCCGGGAGTGGGAGTTGCTGGCGAAGACTCGGGTCTCGGGGGCTGCGGGGCGGCGCATGACCTTGTGGTGTGCGGAAGAGCAGCCATCTCCACACCGGGCTCCCGGCTTTACCTGGGAACCTGGCAGTTGCGGATTTCCTTCGTCTTGGGGCCCTTGTGATGTTTCCACTAGCATCGGGAAACCCTTCTTCTAGTTGCCCGTAGATCCCTTCATTCATTCGGTCATTACGCCTGGAACCGCCGCCGCCTTCGGTGGCGGAAGCTCGCGTTCCAGCGCGGGGTACAGATATAAGACAAGCGGACTCAGGGCGGGGGCGGCTTTGTTGGTGGCTCGCGTGTCGGCTGCAGCGGAGCCGCAGTGCTGTGAAACCGAAGGGCTTCTATTTCTTTATCTGTGGAGTTAGGTAGTGTGAGTCTGGGTTTTTTTCCCCCTGTATTATCAAAGCACGTGATCTTGCCAGATTTAAACAACTGCATGCCCTTGTAATCCTTCAAGTTGGGTCAGAATCTTCAAGCTTACTTGTCAGACTTTTCTTAGCTTCTTTCAGCTTCAATTTCCAAGCTTGTGAAAAATGGCTTGGTGAACTGTGAATTCATGGAAATGCTAATCATCCCATAGCAATTTATCTTCGTAGTGAACTAACAAGTGCCTGGAGAATCCGCAGTAAAAACTCTTAAGGTTGCTCTTCCTTTTGAGTTTTTCATGTTATTTACGTGTCGGGTATAATTTCATTTTACAGAGGAGGGATTTTCTCCAAGCTACTATGAGGTGTGTGTGTAACTGATTGATGCCTGAATGTGCTGCGCGTGCTGGGGGTGTTAAAATCCATTGTCTTGCTGCATGCTGTCTTGTGATTTTTGTGATGTTGGTGTAAGTGCAAACTGGTGATGTGAAAGACTGGAGACTTAATTTCCAATGTAGGGGAGGCCTGTCTTCGTTTTTCAGGGCCGTTTTTGATTGGTGATGCCCACTGTGGGCCAGGTTCACCAGCCAGCAGCATTACCTCTCCTCCCCTCTCTGCACAGGACAGTCATGAGGACCATGATACCTCCACAGAGAATGCAGATGAATCCAACCATGACCCTCAGTTCGAGCCAATAGTTTCTCTTCCTGAGCAAGAAATTAAAACACTGGAGGAAGATGAAGAGGAACTTTTCAAGATGTAAGTCCTCTGAGGTGTCCCTGTGGAAGTATCTTTAGATGGGCTGACTGAGACAGCGAGAGAGAAATGGCTCAATAATAAGCAGGTCTCCGTGGGATGTTCCAATAAAAAAACTTATAAAACTCCATAACCACAGTGGGACCATGCTCTTCTCTGTGCTTTCTGTAGGAGCCAGCCAGCCAGCTAGTACTGTGCTGGGGATTATTTCTCTTGTGCTTGGGTATAAGCCTCTCTGTGATTTTTGTCTGGAACTTTGCAGAAAAATTCTATGTTGGCAGGGCACATTATGATCCCTGTGAATTTCACAGCTTGGCCCCAGTCTGATAAAGGCTGTTTTATGAAAGGGCCTGGAGTTGTATGGTGACTAGTCTTACATTGAAAATTCAACCATTCTGCCAAACCTTTTCCTGCTTCCTTGGGGACAGTGATGTGAAGGATGTCCCCAACATAGTTTTGTCACCTGGGTGTCTCCCCAGCTGATTTTGCACCTTTCCTCCAAGAATCAGCAATCCCAGCAGGTGCTGTAGCAGGCACCTTTAATTCCAGCACTCGGGAGATAGAAAGCAGGTAGATTTCTGTGGGTTTTTTAGGCCTGCCTGGTCTACAAAGTAAGTTCCAGGACAGCCAGGGCTACATTGTGAGACCCTTTCTTGGGGGTGGGAGCTTCCTTCCTTTCTTGAGCAGGAATCTTAACTTCTTTCTTTCCTTTTCTTTCTTTCTGCCTTGTTTTCTGTTGCCTTAACTGGGTATCCTTAAAGAACAGGTTGGTTTAGCTCTTGTTTGGTTTTTTTTCTAATTTTATATGTGTATGGGTGTTTTGCCTACATGGATGTCTCTACACAATGTGCAGCCTGGTGCCCAAGGAGGCCAGAAGAAAGCAGCGGATCCCTGGGGACTAGAGTTACAGACAGTTTTGAGTTGCCATGTGGTCCTCTGGAAGAACAGCCAGTGCTCTTAACTGCTGAGCCATCTCTCCAGCCTCCAGCTCATGGTTTTGCAGGTTAGGAAGTCTGAGATCTGAGAGCATAGTGCTAGCATTTTGGTATGGGCCTCAGTCACATCTTAATGTGGCCATGTATCATGGAACTTGCTACCTTCCGTCTTTTACATACCCTCTAGTGCCATTGTTCGGCCCCTGTCCTCAGTCCTCGTGATTTCATCTGATCATCTTTACTTCTAAAGGATGCTTCAAATATTATTAATGTGAATTTGGAAATTGAGTTAATGCCTAAACTGTAAGGACACATTCAAACCACAGCAGACAAATTGAGCTACAACCTATGCATTCCTGGTACTGTGTCTTAACACAGAATGCCACTGGAAATGTCTTAGCTATCAAAAATGCTTTTTTGAAATTACCACGTGTTTCTCTCTTAGAACCTTCAGTGAGGAACTGTAGCAATACTTGAGTAAACTTTGGATTTGCTGTTGTCTTGTTTACTGGCCTGGTGATTGAACACATGCTAGGCATGTACTGTACTGAGATGCATCTCTTGCCCCCTCCCTGCTCCAATTTTATACACCTGGTCTTGAACTTACCATTTACCTGCTTTAGCTTCCTTAATATCTAGGATTACAAGCTTGTACTCTCAGGCCAAGACAGCAACTGAGCATAAGATATCTTGTATCTGGTTTCACATCACAGCAGAGACTGGCTTGCTTGTTGTTTCCTGTGCTCAGAATTGCTGGACACTGGGGTTCAGGTACATTGTAGCAAAGGTTGTGTTTCTGTCTCTGGCATTCCCTCTTCCCCCTTCAAGTATACCTAAAATGTCAGATTAAGGTACATCTGCTGTGAAGTTGTGGGGGGGAGGGGGCTGCTTAAGGAGAGCCCATAATATACCTTTGTACCCAGAAGGTGGTGGGCCAGAGTTCTGTGCTATAGCCCTGGGCAAGGGTGGCATCCCTTTGAGTTAGGTAGCATTTGATTTCGTCCATGCAGTGCTGACAGGACTGCTTTCCTGGGCAGTGTCCTTGGTGTAGCTCTGGAGACCAGCCTCTTGTGCCCTACACCAGGGCTTTCTCTTAAGAAGTGGGTGAAGACGTATCCCTTGTGACCGAGTTTGGAGGAGAGCAGAGACTTTAGCAGAGGAGAGGCAGGTGAGGGTGGCAGAGGAAGGGTGTTGGCCCGGCTTGAGGGACAAAAGAACTGGACTCATTGCTGGCGCTAGGTGCCTGAACCCTGGTGGCTGCAACAGGTTCCTCCTGACAGGAAGCTGGTGCTGGGCCTGTGGAGGATGATATCCCTAAGGCTTTGTGTAAAGGGTGCTCATGTAGTGTGACTGGGCCATCCAGCTCGCTGGCGCTTCTTTACCCGCCCTGGGCCATGTGTACCCTTAGATACCTCTCCTGAGGAAAATGCTTCTGCTATGAATAGCTTTCTGGCTGTAAAGTAAAAGCAATGTGGAATTTGTTGGGCTGTTGTGCTCTCCTGGGTGGTTTTTTGACTAGTAATTCTTGGCACCCAAAGATTTAGAAAAATTTGGTGAGGACCCAGTGTCCAGCAGTACCCTTATATTTTGCGCCCACAGAACACGTTTTCTTTTGGGGCAGTTGGTCCAGGTGTGAGTTCCCTCCCTGTCTTAAGTGTTTCTTTACTGGCTTTTCTTATAGGCGGGCAAAGCTATTCCGGTTTGCTTCAGAGAATGACCTCCCAGAATGGAAGGAGCGAGGCACTGGTGATGTCAAACTCCTGAAGCATAAGGAGAAAGGGACCATCCGCCTTCTCATGAGGAGGGACAAGACTCTGAAGATATGCGCCAACCACTATAGTAGGTGGTCTTTCAGGTCTACACCCTGGAACTCTAGGAGCTGGTTACCAGGGGAGAGAGGGATATATTTGTGATGCTTAAAGTATCTTTCAAACAGGCCTCTGAACTCTGACAGTGAAGCTTACAGAATGCAGGCTGTGGGCAAGATAGATCTAGGGCAGATGTAGAACTCCAGGATAGAGTTAGATGGTGATGCAGTGGGTACGTGTTTGTATGTTATCTGGGCAAGTTGTGGGGGTCTGGTGCCAAAGCTGTGTTTTCACTTTCTGATCATGCTCTACTCCCAGCTGTTGCCTGGGATGATACAGGAAGGGAACAGTGCTAGGAAGAAGATGAAGGAGGAGGGCTCTTGGCCAGATGTGGCCCTGTGGATCTAGAACGAGGTCTCAACAAGCCGTCCCTTCCCTGTTTGTCTCAGAGGTTCTTTAGATCATTTTAGGGGGCTTTTGATCCTGATAGATCTAGTGCAAAAATCTATATTTTTCTAAACTTAAAAATATTATCCTCCAGGTGAGTTTGCATATGGAAGACAAAGAACAGCTTTGTGGAATCTACTCTTCCCTAACGCCTTTACGTGTGTTCTTGAGTCGAGCTCGGATCTCTGGGCTTGTCTAGCTAGTGCTTTTATCTAAGTGCATTGTTTTCTTTCATTTGTGTGCACCTGTGCCATGGCTGTGACAGTTGAAGGACAACTTATAGGAACTGGTTCTCTCCTTTCACCTTGTGGGTTCTGGGGTGGAACTAGTCAGACTTTTTGGGAAGTGATTCTACTGGCACAGCTTTACAGACCCCGAATCTCTACCTTCTTGGGTACTTTGGCTGACTATAGGTAAGGTGCAGTTAGGGCTTTAAAAGGTGGGTTTTGCTGAGGCAGAGACATGAGAAAGACCTTGATCCTCTCTCCCTCACAGTTGCCTCAGTCTCTCCTCAGTCCCAGTTTGGGGCACTCCTTTGCGGGGTGGGGAGCTGCTCTCAAAGCCTAGCTAGGTTCCAGAGTGGTCTCTGTGAGCCTCTCTACCTGGGTGGAACTCCTTGTCCTTATCTTGCCTATCTCACAGGCCCTTGGCTGTTGTGAGTCAAGGTCGGGCATATTACTGTTCTATTGCTCTGAAGAGACACCATGATCAAACAACTCTTCTAAAAGAAGACATTTAATTGGGACTTGATTGCATTTTCAGAGGGTTAGTCTATGGGGGGGGGGCAGAGAGAGACGTTGGAGCGACTTAGTCTTATTAGCTTTTGAAACTTGAGAGCCCACCCCCGGTGACCTTCCTCTAACAGGGCCACACCTAATCCTTCCAAACAGTTCTTCAACTGGGAACCAAGCACAACATGAGCCATTCTCATTCAGACCACTACAGGCATCAAGTGGAGTGCTGTGCAGAGTTCCTGAGACCACCATGGGCTGTGATGGCTCAGCTCCCTGAGCTCCAGCTTTGGCGGTCGTGTAGGGGTGGTCAGATTGGTTCATGGACCTCTAGAATCCTTGAAATGCTGCCAGGGTACAGGGATCAGAGGCTGGCAACTATCTGTTGGTGCTATAACCTTCCCCCTCGGTTCTCCTTGGTTCAGTAGGACCTGAGGGATTCAGAATAAACATGCTTGTTATGAGCCATGGCTTGTCTTCATGACATACTAACATTGTCCTGAGATTCCAGTGTTTGCTACTTGTGTTCTTACCCCTCAGACCTTCCTGGACTATAGAGGGTTGAGTGGTGGCATCATGTGATACTCCTGCTTTCAAGCTCCTTCACCTCTGTGTTCCCATCTTTAAGTCAGCCAGGTTCATGCTGGTGTGGGCATGTGTTTTAGCCATATGTTGGGCAAAGCCCTTTGGAAGGTTTGAGCCTGAGTGGCTATCCTTAAAACATCAGCAGACAGAACCTGTGCTTCAGGGTCCTGAGCCTGTTCCCACATAAGGATTATCCTGGTTTTAAGCAGATGTGGTTTGCATAGGGCTTAGAGTTGTGTAGACCTGTGGTGAAATTCCTTCCATGGGGCAGACATAAGCAATGTCTGCACTTATGCCAGGGTTCCAATGACAGATGAAGGTGTGCTGCCACCAGAGTTTCCTCTGGGGAAACAATGAATTTATTGGCCTTTCCTAAGGTCAGAGGTGAGGTGTTACTTACAGGGGTGTGAGTACTCCTCACCCCATCAGGCTATACCTGGAAGGCCTTGACTTAGCAGGGATGATAGCTTCTCTAAAGGTGGAGCCCCTCTGTCCGAGTCTTTCCCAATCTAATACTCTAGCCCCTCCTGGAGGAGGGCACATGGAATTAGGACAGAGTTGCATACAACCAGTGGTTACAAGGGTGAGGATCTTTGACTCTCTTCACCCTTAGGGAAATAACAGTCAAATCCAGCTAGGATAATCTGTAAGTGGGCACAGTTGAACCCCCCAGTATGGTGGTTGCTTGGCTAGGAGGGTAATCAGGTACAACAACTTGGATCAAATTCCATGTTGGTTGAAGTAGGTCCCTCCTTCACTTGGTTAGCAGGTTGCTCTGAGTGAGGGCTGAGTGGTTTGGCCGAGGGTCCCGCTGTTCTCACAGGCTTCTGTCTTCTAGTCACACCAATGATGGAGCTGAAGCCCAATGCTGGCAGCGACCGTGCCTGGGTCTGGAATACTCACGCCGACTTTGCAGATGAGTGCCCCAAGCCTGAACTGCTTGCCATCCGCTTCCTAAATGCTGAGAGTAAGGAGAACCTGCCCAACTGTGGGTCGCCTGCTGTGTGAAATCCTAGGGGGTCTGTATAAACAGTTGTTGCATCCAGTTGATTCCCATCCGGTGTGTGGAACAGAGACACACCCTAGAGTTTCCTCCTGCTGCTGCTTCTGGGTTTCTGGTTCCTCAAGACTGGGACATTGGTGTCCCCTATGGATGCTTAGGCACCTGTTCCAGCCAAGATTGCAGAGATCTGCAAGCCCTGGCTGATCTTTCTTCCATGGGGAATTTTTCTAGTCCCGCATGTGCTATGCCCTAGGATCGTGGAGAGTCAGCAGGTACCATGGCCAGTGCCCTAGTGGCTAGTGCTCCTGTGAAAGTGAGCCTTCCCTTGTTCTGGGAGTATAGTGTATCTCTGGTAGCCCTTCCAACAAGAGTAGAGCCTATAGTAGGAAGGGCCTTGGCCCTTGGTCATTTGATTGTTGATAGATAACTGAGGACAGTCACTGGCCTCAGGAGAGACTCAGTAACCAGTCACTGCAGGTGTTAGGTAGTCAGAAGCTGCCATTGGGGCTGGATTTGGTGGTGCTCACCTTTAATCCCAGCACTGGGAGGCAGAGGCAGGCAGATCTCTGTCTTCCAGGACAGTCAGGGCTATGTAGCAAGAGCCTGTCTTTAAAAAGAATGAGAGAAAGTGCCATTGGGAACTATGAGTTGGCTCTTGAGAACTTCAGGATGTCACCAGTATATTCTGAGAACTCCTTCAGTTCCTTCTCTTTCTGCAGATGCACAAAAGTTCAAGACAAAGTTTGAAGAATGCAGGAAAGAGATTGAAGAAAGAGAAAAGAAAGGTGATGTGGTGCCCTGGGGTGATGAGGGTGGGTGTTGGAACTTCTTTGCAGATTCACTCTGCACCTGACTGCAGCTCCAGTCTGGTGCTTTTTCTGTCTGCCAAAGAAACATTCCAGGGTGCTGTGGCTGCCTCTGCAGGGTGCTGTGGCTGCCTCTGCCTGTTGGGGGTCATACAGCTACCTGGGGACATGGTGATTCCTTGGAGGCTTTGACTGCAGGTTGGCCTCATAGCGTTCTTGCTCACTTCAGGTACAGAGCTGAGTTACAGCTCTCGGGAACCTACCAGGGGCGAAAGGGCTTTTCAGATACTCCTTTCTTTCTCTAAGAATTGTGTGTCCTGTTCCTCTGGGGCAGATGAGACCTGTGTTAGTAAGTGACCATAGATCACTGAACAGCTTGGTGGTAATCAGCAGCTTGTTGGGGCCTCTTGTGCCCATCTGGGGAGAGTGGTGGGTGATGCTTAGGGAGCAGGTTGAGCCTGCACTGGTTGAGTGCCGAGAGTAGTACAATCTCACAACCAGATTTCTCTGTTTGGTGTCTTACTGCGTTTGCCTGTTTTTGCAGGACCAGGCAAAAATGATAATGCTGAAAAGGTGGCTGAGAAGCTGGAAGCCCTTTCTGTGAGGGAGGCCAGAGATGAGGCTGAAGAGAAATCTGAGGAGAAGCAATGAATCTGTCCTTTTCCTTCCTTTTTCTTTTAAAAAAATTTCCCTGCCCTTTAAGGTTTGTTTTTATTCTGTTTTGTTTTTACAAGGGACTTTATAAAGAACTGAATTCCAACCTTCAGGGGTTTTTTGTTTTCTTTTGTTTTTTTTAATTCTTTTCTCCTTAAGTTTTGACACCATTGAACATGACTTCAGAAATCCATTCCCCAGTCATGAAAATGTACTGTGCTAACTTTCTTTTCCATAGTGGAAACACTTATTTATAGTCATCAAAAATAGTGAATAAAAATACCTTTGAAAACCTGGACCAACTGGCAAGGCTGTGTTGGGGAAGGGGAGCTGTGCCTGGAGCCCTCCTTGGTCACCTGTGTACCTGAGTGTGCATCGCAGGTCTGTGAAGCTGGTTTCTTAGGAGAATCAAGTGGTGTGTCTGCTATTGCTCTTTAGGGAGCAATGAACACTATGGCCTGGTTTGTCCAAGCTGTTCCTAGAAGCCACTAGGTGAGTGTGATGGGAGCTGAAGAGCCCAGTGGGGCTGAGGCTGGCATTCAGGGCCAAAGTGTGCTGCTGTCCTGCAGCCGGAACTATTTATTACTTTGTGCCCTTTGTAGATTTTGTGTGTGTTTGTGTGTGTTGGAGGGACATGAAGGAAGACCACTAGAGTAACCCGGTGAAGGGAGGTAGTAGGTAAACAAACAGATGTGGCTATTAGGAAAAACTGGTTTGGGTTGGCTATGGTTAATAAGGTAGTACTGAGCTCAGTGGAGAGAAAGGCCACCCTGGAGATGGATAGCCATTCTAGTGCTGTGTCACGGTGTAGCTGTGACTAGCCCTTTAACCCTCCTGTTGGAAACCATTATATGCTTCAACACATCTTCAAATAACACTTGTAAGGGTTTGAGCCTTCTGGGCTTGTGTCTAAAACTTATGTGTGGGGCTGGGGAAATGGCTCTTGTAGAAGATCCGAATTCAGTTCTAAATGGCCACACCAGGCTGCTTACAATTAAGCTCCAAGGAGTCAGACACACTCTGCCTCTCCCAGGTAGTGCATGCAAGTGTGTGTGTGTGTGTGTGTGTGTGTGTGTGTACACATATATATGAATGAGAGCCCTGATATGCTGTATAATGGGCTGGCCTCAGGAGCTGCACCAGCCCTACCTATGACAGGACAGGAGCCATGGGGGCCCTGCTCCCATAAGAAGAGGAGCTGGTCTCTTGCTGATTACCCCTAACATATACCAGAAGCACTTGAAGAGGATGGGTCTCCACCTGTCAATTTGTGTATTGTAGTTGACCCTGTTATGTCTGACCTTGTCAGACATGGTGTGTTTACAAATACAGCTTTTCTTTTTTAAAAACTTAAAAGGTAACATTCAAAGTTTTCCATATAGGCATATTGTACTTTATGTTCATACTACCCCACCTGCTGCCAAAGAACCTTTTCATCCCCCCAGCTCATCTTTAAAAGCCAACTAAAGACTACTGGCTGTCTCTTGGCTTTCTCCATCCCAGGAAGAGATCTGCACACATGGTGGGGCCTGATGAACTGGAATTTGTGACACTGACCACATGTGGTCTTCAATGTTCTTCATAAAAGAGCTGCATGATCTTCCTCAAGGGAAGCCCTGGACTGGGACATTGATTTTTGACATAGTGGAAAGTAACCTTTATCTTGAGTTGAAACAAGCAAATGAGCCTTTGGGGTGGGAGAATGCTCACCAAGTAGAAAGTTTCTTCCCATTCCCAGAGTTTGGTATTTTTCCCATGTATCTCTGGCAGTGGAGGAGGATGACTGGTGGCCTCCATACATAACATAAGTCTCTAGTCAAACCCAAAAGAGTTCCATGCTGCAGATACAGAAAAGCCCCTCCAAAGTGGTTAGGAAACACTGCTATCTGTGCTCAAGCTGTATTCTGGTGTACTTAAGTGGCTTGTTCACCCTTGGAGGTGTAGCTGAAAGGAACATGCATTGGTCCAAGTCTGCCTTATTGACAATGGACTGGAGGATATCAATGAATTGTTGAAGCTACCCAGCCTGGCTGGCATTTGTGTCCTGACGCAATGGGAGGCAGAGGCAGTGGGGTCTTATCAGGAGTTAGAACTATAAGAGACACACAGGTAGCTGGGTAGTAGTGGCATATTCCTTTAAGCCCAGCACTTGAGAGGCAGAGGCAGGTGCATCTCTGTGAGTTCGAGGCCAGCCTGGTCTACACAGAGTTCCAGGACAGCTCGGACTGTTACACAGAGAAATCCTGTCTACAAAACAACACAAGCATACAGTAGCACCCTCTTATCCATAGGGGATATTCCAGGACCCCCAATAGACACTGCAAACTTAGGGGATGCTGATGGAGGAAGGTCATTGGCTAATAAAGGAACTGCCTTGGCCCATTTTATTGGTTGGAAGATAGGTGGGAGGAGTAGGCAGAACAGGACGCTGGGAGGAAGAGGAAGTGAGGTCAGAGACTCGGCAGCTCTCCTCTCGGGAGCAGACGCCTCAGAGAGACACCATGCTCCTGGCTCCTGGGCAGAAACACGCTATGAAACTCCGACCCAGGATGGACATAGGCTAGAATCTTCCCGGTAAGCGCACCTAGGGGCGCAACACAGATGATTAGAAATGGGCTAAATTAATATGTGAGAATTAGCCTAGAAGAGAATGGGCCAATCAGTGTTTAAATGAATACAGTTTGTGTGTTGTTATTTCGGGGCATAAGCTAGCTGGACAGGTGGCCAGGGTGCTGGGAACGCAGCCCTGCTGCCCCTATTTACTACAGATTGGCGCTGGGGGGCTGGGCACGCAGCCCCGCCGCCCTTATTACTACAGGATGCCAAGCCCTATTTATAAGTTAGGCATAGTGGGAGATGAAGTCAGATAAACTGCAATAAGGTTAAAAAATACAGTCTAAATAGCTTACTGTAGGTCTTAGCAACCTCAACACAGATTCTTTGTTTTTTGAGACAGGGTTTTAGCTCTCCTGGAACTAGCTCTATAGACCAGGCTGGCCTTGAACTCAGAGATCCACCTGCCTCCGCCCCCCCTTCCCCCCAGTGCTGGGATTAAAGGCATGCTCAGCACAGGCTCTTATCTAACTATGTAGAACACTTTGGCCTTTTGCTTTACCAGGTCTCTGGCAATCACTACTGTAGAAACACAAGAAGGCTACAATAGAAACTAGGTAAGCCTAGGGAATTCACATTCAAGACAGAGAAGTGCAGTTAAGTTGGTTGGTTGGTTGGTTGGTTGGTTCACTTGAGACTCATTCAGCCCAGGTTGGCCTGAAGGTGTGTGTAGCAGAGGATAAGCTTGAATCCTGTGTCTACCTCCTAATGATGGGACTAGGTACATATGTTCTGTTTATATGGTGTTGGGTTTTGTTAGGCAGGCATTCTGCCAACTGAGCTACATCCTGACCCTTTTGTTGATGTGGGAGTCCCCTCTGTGTGCTGTGATTACATTTAATGAATAAAGAAACTGCTTTGGACCTATAGCAAGGTAGAACTTAGGTAGGCAGGGAAAGTTAGGCTGAATGCTGGGAAAAAGAAGGATGGAGTCAGGAAGAAGCCATGGACCTTCCTCCAGAGACAGACATGCCGAAACTGCCAGTAAGCCACTGACACGTGGCGACACACAAATTAATAGAAATGGATTAAATTCAGATGTAAGAGTTAGCCAATAAGAAGCTAGAACTAGCTAATGGGCCAAGCAGTGATTTAAATAATACAGTTTCTGTGTGATTATTTCAGGTCTAAGCTAGCTAGCTGTGCATCTGGGAAGAACAAGTGGCCTCCTCCAACAGATTGGCACACCAACATGGTAGACTAAATCCATGTAAAACTTGAGAGAGTTTGAAAAGGAATTCTAGACACAAAAATACAGAGTTTAACACGGCTTCTTGCTGTTTGCTGGCTGCATGCAGCAGCTCCTTTAAGAGAGGTTTTCCTGACCAAGTGATAGCAGAAAAGCAGTGTCGTTTTGAAATGCCAGCTTTCTGGGATGTGTTGCCAGCATGACCTCTGGCTCTTTCTGGAGACGGAGCATTTGGATGGGGCACAGCTTGCTTGATGGCAACATGGGCCAGCTGTGTGTCTAAAAGTTGGGCAGTATGTGTGGCTCTCAGATGTTTGAGCAGCTATGCCACGCTGGACTGGGTGGGACAAACAGGAAGTACTGTATATACCATAGTAATAATGCAACTTAAGTTTTAGACTGGGCAGACAAGAAGTGCAGTATATACCATAGTATTGGCGTAGCTTAGGTTTTAAGAAGCGCTTAGCATTTTAAAAAGTGCTCCTGGACAGTAAAGAAGTACAGATATGCAATAAAGACAAATTCAGATGAGTCATAGTGTTGGATAAAGGTACATAGGCTTGAAAGAGAAAAGAAAAAGTATAGAGTCATAAAATAAAGTTAATGCTTCAAAAAAAAGGGTATAGGTTTTTTAAAAAAATATTTATTTATTTATTATGTATACAATATTCTTTCTGCGTGTATGCCTGAAGGCCAGAAGAGGGCACCAGATCTCATT